TCCCAAGTTTGTGACCTCGGCACCACCAGACCCCAGGGCTGCCTGCCCCTGCCCGGTGGGGCCCCATCAGCTCCTCTGCAAACACATGTCCACCCTCTGCCCACCTGCCCCTCATGCTTCTTCATGGATTTTGTCTCACACATGGATCAGGACACAGACATGCTCACAGGAGCAGAGGGCTGCCCCAGGGCCCCAGCTCCGAGGCCACCAGCCCTTCTCGACCTCGAGTCATCCACTTCCTCACGCTTTTTCCTGAGTAAAGCCGAGGACTGGACCACCTTACCCCCCAGCACTTCTGTTTATCGATCACTTTGTGCGATATTTTTAGGGAGGGACCTGGGGCTGGAAAGTTTCCCACCTGGAGGACCAGGTGAGGGTCCTGTCACATCAAGGACATGAGGCGGTGCCGGTGTGGGTTGGGAAAGGGGACGAGGGGGCAGAGCGCGAGGGCTCAGGCCCTGGAGTTCGCAGGGGTGGACCGAGAGAACAGGGGACTCCAGCCAGCATGGGGACCCTCAGGACAGACGCCCTGGAGCCAACACTGGCGCTTCGGGGGTCTCTGTGGGTCACAGCCCGCCCAGCACCAGCCCCCCTTCCCTCAGCCCCCTCGGCCTGATTGGCCAGCAGCACTGGGCACCCCACAGTGAGCCAGGTTGTAGGTGCAGAGAAGCTGCAGGAAATCCGAGAGCGCTGGAACTTTCCATGAGGCCAGGGGGTCACGGGCCCAGTGCCCTGAGGGCATATGGTGACACCTGGCTGTCCCTCCGACCCAAGGTCATCCTGCACACTGTCCTTCCAACCTCTTCAGAGGGTCCAGGTCTTGGCTTCTGACCCCAAAGCCACCAAAGTGGACGAGGGACCAGTGTCCCTCCTGCGGCACTGACACAGCCCCCCAAGCCAGTGGTCCTACACATGCCCCCGCCCCCGCGGGCCTGAGGGAGCACCTGGAGGCCCGGGCCTGAGCAGGGGAGTGCGTATGCAGGGTCTGCTCTGCTGTGAAAAGTCTGTGGGATGCCTGGCAGCAGTGTAGACGAGAACACAGCGCACAGACCCATGGGCGGTGTAGATGAGAACATAGCACGCGGGCAGGTCTGCAGCATAGACAAGAGCGCGGCACACAGACACATCTGCAGTGTAGACTGCAGGGCCCAAGACAGGGGAGGAGGTGCATTAGCTTTATTGGTCACTGGTGCTTATAAAAGTGGGGGCTCTGCCCCGTCACTGCTGGTGGAAGGCATGGGCAGGGCCCGTGGCCCAGGGCGCTTGAGGTCCAGAGTCCCGGGTCAGGAAGCACAGACGCCACAGGTCATCGGCATGGGGGGCTCGAGGCCAGATGCTTGTTGCACTGGCAGAGGGTGGGGGTCTCCTTGTCCCTCTGGAAACGTCCTGAGGCCAACGCCGGCCGGGCCTCTCACCCCCATCTTTGGGCCGCTGTGTGTCCACGCCAGCCACGGCCCTTTCCCAGTTCGGCCTCCTGGGCCCGACTCCAGGGGCCCTGCGCTGGCCTGCAGGGGCCTAACCACTGGCGGCTCGTCCCAGGACACGGTCTAGCAGGCCCGCCCGGGCTCTTCCAGTTTTGGGAAGGGCCTCTCACAGGGACGTGGGCCTCAAGGGTGAAGCGGCTCCTGGGACCTGGGTGGCTGTGGCCAGGTGCGATCTGGGGGCATCTGCCGAGCAGGGAGAGGAGGGGTGTGAGGGCCACCCTGTCTGGAGGGGCCTCTAGCTCCATTCTTTTCAGCCCCTGTTGGCAGCGTGTGTGCCATCCAGCCCACAAGCTTTGGAGCCACGACAACTCCAGAGCCAGAAGGGCCCAGTTCTGCCTTGGGCAAGCCTCAGTTTCCCCTCCTGGGTCACTGTCAGGGCTTAAAGGGGGGCCTCAGAGAGCAGACCGGTGTGACCCTCTCTGGGCTGATGCTCAGGGAGGGCCAGGACTGTGTTTAATTACAATTAATAAACGGCCTGGTCATCAAGCCATGAGCAAGAGAGCAGGCTGGCATCCAGAGGATTCTGGGGGAGATGGACTTAACACCAAGGCAGGGCCAGCAGGCAGGCAGTGAGCTGGGACTCCCATGGCTGGCCATTGGGAAATGGACACTCCCAGCCAGGCCACGTGTGGGCCCTGCTCCCGGGTCCCACCTCAACCTCCGGCTGGCCCCCCTGGAAGTTTTCTTTCATGCGCCCGACACATAGGCAGTGTTCAGGCAGCCTGCTCTCCACTCGGCCGCGGTGCTGGACTGGTGGCTGTCTGTCAGCAGTGCCCACCCCTTCTCTGGGGCGGGCCTGACGAGCAACCTCTGGGCCCGAGGCCACACGTACCTGTGGTGTGTGCCCCGGCCAGGGCCCCACGTGCAGCACACATGACACACGCTGGGCCTGCTGACCCGCATTCGCCCTTGAGGCAGCCCCCAGACCCCAAAGAGTGCAGGGGCTTCTTTGCTGAGCATGGAACCAAGGTCCCCCGGCCATGGCAGCTCCTGCTCCTGGGTAGGGCAACCCTGGGTGGGTGCTCGCCTCCGAGCAAGGACAGGGGATGTGCCCGGGGACGGTGCACACGGCCGGAGGCGCCCCACAGGACCGACGCGGGTCATGAGGGTCTGCTCATGGGTCAGCGGGTGCCCGGGCGGCCTCGCGGTGGAGACGGACCCGCCCGGGGCCGGCAGGTGGACGGCAGCAGGCGGGTCCCTCCCTGGCTCACCTGAACCCCTACTGCCGGGGTGCTGCATCCATCACGGGCTTCTGGACGCCAAAGGCAGTGATGAAGATGTTGACCACGACAATGATGAAGACTAGGCCGGTGGCCAGGTTGTTAAGGAAGTCCAGCTTGGCATGCTTCGCGGGGTTGTTGAGGTCGTACCTGACTGTGGGCGGAAGGGAGCCGACGCTGCACCTGGGCCTGCCGCCACGCTCGGACTGCTTTCCGGGCCTGTGGCCTCAGCCCCGCAGCCCCTTCTCCAAGAACGGAAGCTCAGAGGTGTCCGTCTGGGAGCAGAAGAGACGGCCCGAGGCCCAGGTGTGGATTTGAGGGCACAACGCGCTGGCGCTGAACGCACCCAGGCAGGCGCCTTTCTGAGCACTGCGGGCAGTGGCCTAGTGATTGTCACGTGGGCCCAAAGCCCTGCCCTTACTCCCACTTCATGGATGAGGCAACTGAGGCCCGCGGGGCTCAGATACCTGCCCGAGGTCACACAGCCAGCCGTGGAGGTGAGCCCTGACCCTCCCCCCGGGGGAAGGACCACCAGCTAGTCCCCGTAGACCACATTCTCCCGCAGCCTCGCTCGGGTGGGTGGAGGGACAGAGACGGGGGGCCACCTCCTGACCGCATGGCTGAGTGGGGGCTGCCCCGGGGCCCTCCCCCGCCAGGGCCCCAGCCCAGGCTCACACCGAGGAAGATGAGCAGCACGCCCACGCCGATCTGCAGCACGAGGGAGATGGAGATGAGGACCACCAGGGGCACGAAGAAGGCGAAGCCGGGGCCCTGCTCGATGACGGCCTTCAGCTGGGACGCGTTGGCCATCAGCAGCGCGATGTCTAGCATGCTCTCCGCCGCGCTCTTCTTGTTGGCGTAATGGTTCACGTTAATGGGCCGGTTCCTGCCCCAGCGGGATGGCTGCGGGGAGGGGTTGGTCAGCCTGTGCCACCAC